ATTCCGGGGCTCAGGATGAGTTCCGGTTTGTCACCTAGGAGCCCAAAATCTGCCCGGCCCGAAAGCGGTCCGGGTCACGAAAACCGTCACACTTTCATCACGCTCAACGCGCGCGCGTCCTGCGTCGTCCCGTTCTTCTCCTTCGGTAGCGATGTCTCACTTCGAACAATACCGAGCGCGGCGAGATCCAGTGAGGCGCTGGGCCGATGAATTGGGGCTCTGGGCCGTTCTGAGGTCTTGCTATATAACGGCGGCTCTCGACGCGGATAACAGGCCCCAGTTTTGCACTTGCTCTTGCGGCCCTCGTCGGTGGGATCTATTCACCCCTGAAGGTCGGCTGGCAACATGCCAACTGCTGATTGAGGATGGTGCCATGTTCATGGCCGGGAATTTGACAATTTGTGCTCCAGTAGAGCGTATAAAATACTCGACCTGTGAAATATTTTCCATCCACTAGGACCCGCGCGTGAGATGAGGGCGAGCGAAGCGAGCCCGAGGTGAACGCGGGACAAAACGGAGATAAGTAATCGGCTATGAGTATCTTCACCAACGACAATAGACTTGTTGAGGGAGAAATATCTCTCGATTAAGTGCGCCTGGTGTCGCAGACATACGTGGAAGTACAGGAAATTGGTCGGACGGTGTTACGTCGGGCATGCGCCAGTTAATAGCGATATCTGAGAACGAAGCGTACGTCGTAACATGTACATTGTTCACAATTTGAAGGGAGTTGAGCCCCGGAAATGCCCCGGAGGGGCTGTGGCAGTATACTCTATCATCTCGTAGCCCCTGCGATTACACGCGTACGGCAATCAACCGCAGAAGAGAGTCAACCGCCATCGACGCGTAATGTCACGCGTCGGTCACAAAATCAACATCGCGGTCCGCTGCGTCCGCGACGCGGCGCCAAACCACTGAGCGCACCCACTCTGCTCTTGCGTCTCACCAGCATCGGACTTCCTCCTATCCCCCCCCCTCTCCCGACCAATATGGGTATCAAAGGTCTTACAGCGCTCCTGCAGGAGCACTCGCCAAAAGCGTTTCAAGTGCGTGGTCAGGATGACCGTGTCGTACTCGCAATTGACGGTGGATGTGTAGAGTCACGATATTAAGACGCTTTTCGGCCGGAAAGTCGCCATTGACGCGTCCATGTCTATCTACCAGTTTCTCATCGCCGTAAGGCAACAAGACGGCGAGATGCTCACCAACGATGCAGGCGAAACTACAAGGTGCGTAATGCCAATGTGGGTCGACGTGTGGCGACTGACATCTGTGGTACAGTCATCTCATGGGCTTCTTCTACCGCACAATACGGATTGTTGAAAATGGTATCAAACCTGCTTATGTCTTCGATGGAAAACCGCCGGAGTTGAAGTCGGGTGTCGTACGTTCGTTTATTCGCCCTCGGTGTCTTCACATCCTGAAGGAGCCGATGTAGCTCAAGAAGCGGTTCGAGAGGCGTGATGAAGCAAAGGAGGGCGAGGAAGAGGCGAAGGAAACTGGTGCGCTGCTCAACCGCATGTTGAGTGAACACGAGAATCTGACTGGATGTAGGTACTGCTGAGGATGTCGACCGCTTCTCGAGGCGGCAGGTCAGGGTGACGCGCGAGCACAACGAGGAGTGCAGAAGGTTGTTGAAACTCATGGGTATCCCTGTGGTCGTTGTACGTCTGTGTGGTTTTTCAATCGTGTACGCTTCATAACGAGCGACCCGCAGGCCCCGTCAGAGGCAGAAGCACAATGCGCCGAGCTCGCAAGGGGCGGGAAGGTGTACGCGGCAGGGTCGGAGGATATGGACACCCTCACTTTCAACTCCCCCATTCTATATCGCCACTTGACGTTCTCAGAGGCGAAGAAGCAGCCCATATCTGAAATCAACCTGAAGGCGGCGCTTGAAGGGTTGGAGATGGAGATGCCACAAGTGAGTGACCATGTCTATCATGACAGCTGTCTCGTGGTACTGAACGCGATGCTTGTAGTTCATTGACCTTTGCATCTTGCTCGGCTGTGATTACCTCGAGCCTGTCAAAGGTGTTGGCCCCAAGACGGCGCTGAAGATGATTCGCGAGTACGGCTCACTAGGCGCCGTCATCGAGCACTTGCGGGAGAAGTGCGTGTCCCTTCTCAACGCATCCCCCATTCACCACCTGACAACGCTTCAGGCAAGCGGCGAAGGAAGAGGAGAACGCAGCTGAGTCAGGTGACGAGGATGGTGGCAAGAAGAAGAAAAAGAAGGCCGGTGTGCAGGTGCCGGAGGAGTGGCCTTGGGAGGAGGCGAAGAAGTTGTTCGAGAACCCAGACGTCTTGCCAGCTGACGAGGTTGAGGTGCGCGTTGCTTTCTTGCTCCTCTTGGAATGGTCGCTGACGGCGGTCCAGCTTGACTGGAAGGCGCCTGATGTCGATGGGCTCGTCGACTTCTTGGTCAGGGAAAAGGGCTTCAAGTACGTTCTTCTTCGTAGCGTTCACTAGGCGCAGGAAGCTGACAAGTGACGCAGTGAGGAGCGTGTCCGGAAGGGTGCCGAAAAGCTATCAAAGCACCTGAACGCGAAGCAGCAAGGCCGATTAGATGGCTTCTTTAGTGTCGCAGCTAAGCCGAAGGATGATGCGAAGGGCAAGACAGGCGCGAAGGGTAAGGGTAAAGACGATGCAAAGAAGGGCAGCAAGCGTAAAGTGAGTCCAGTCTACATCTACCCAACCTAAGCCCAGCCTGATAACTTGTATAGGCGGATGACAAGGAGTCTGGTGGTGCGAAAAAGAAGACGAAGAAGTAGACTATTCGCTTCATTCATCGGGTTTGATCTCTGTCGCTTTCGCTCTGCTCTCTTGGTATCGTGGCCCGTTCTGTACTTGTATGGTTTCCGTATCTTAATCTCAATCCAGCGCTGCCGCCGTGCATAAGGCAAGAGTTGTACGGCAAGATCGTCTCGCATCTTGATAGGGTATGACGCTTCGGCGTCTTGGGCTTCGTGGCTCTGACGGCTCCGCCTATCTCGTACATTTGATTTGAGGACAAACACAGCTCTGATTGGCGCATGAAGTGCTAATACATGGGTTGTTATACTAGGATGACGGGCGCTCTTCGAGTCAAGCTGGTACGTCACCTGCGCCTATCCGTGAGGGTCTGCGTCTGACTGATAGGGACATCCAGCGTCTGGCGAAGCCTCACCGCCGTACTGCAATGTACCGCGTGCGGATACAAGAGCTACTTTGGTGGAGATGCACGTAAAGCGGACATGCCGCGAAGGAGTGCTGATGTCGTTGACCATACAAAGCTATCCATCCGTGTTCTATCAGGTGTTACAGACCTGCGTCACGATGGACGCCGTGTGTAAACTAGTCCTTCGCCGTCGCGCCTCGCAGCGAGCACGATGCAACGGCGAAGGAGGCTCGTGTGCGCCGAAGGATGGATGGAACTGCTGCCGGCACGGAACATCCAGTCGCGAAATTCTGGTTGAGCATGCCGCAGCTCAGGACGATTTTTGATCGCGAAGTTTGATTTGAGCGTCCCGCAGGAACGGCAGATGCTTCCGATGTGTCTACATCCGGATCTCGAGAGGCCGCGCAGGCGTTGAACTCGCGCCTCCTCCAAGGCGGGAGAACATGCTAGTCGGATGTAGAGCCTGGCAGCACAGGCAGTGATTCGGGACGCCGATAACGGAGTCCAGGAGCTGTTCATCGACGGCGGTGGTGCGCGAGGCAGACGATGGGAAGCGATAGATGACAGAAGATACGCCAGGGAGAAGACGCGTCGATTATTATCGATCGGGATTCTGTAAGAACGCGTCAGGCAACAATGCGGGAGAGTTCGAGCTCGACCGCGCGCGCGGACCAGCTCAGACGGCGTGGAGACGCATATACTCGGTGCACTCGAACCGTCGCTGAGGGAGCGGGGCTGGGAAGTGGATCGGGTATGGAGCATACGCGCTAGGGACTTTTTATCCGGGGTATCGAACTCGGGGGAAAGATCCACGTTTGCCTGCCAGGACCTCGTGGGAACGTCCCACGGGACCACTCAAAAACTCGATCGGCTCAGATTTTCAGCTCGAGCACCCTTCCTCTCCTCCACCACCCCCCGTCACTCCCTACATCTAAAAGTAAGTTCTTTATTCTCTGATGGTAGCCTCTGGGCAGTCGTGGACGCCTCCCGTGCTCCCGATCGGCCTCTGGACGGCCTTCTTGGTCGGCGGGCGCGCGATTTTTTGGTCGCTTCTTCGACGCCCATCGCCTGCGATCCAACTATATCTGTCCTAGGATATGTTTTCTGACGAGCGTCTCTCATTTCTAGACCTCCAAAAATGGGCAAGGAGAAGACCCACGTTAACGTCGTCGGTGCGTCGCGCTTATCGCCTGGCATCTGACCGCCGGCGCTCATGTCTCATTTCTAGTCATCGGCCACGTCGACTCTGGCAAGTCGACGACCACTGGTCACCTTATCTACAAGTGCGGTGGTATCGACAAGCGTACCATTGAGAAGTTCGAGAAGGAGGCTGCCGAGCTCGGCAAGGGCTCGTTCAAGTACGGTGCGTATTTTTTACTGATGTTGATCTTCCGCCTATGGTTGCTCATCTTTTCTCACAGCATGGGTGCTTGACAAGTTGAAGGCTGAGCGCGAGCGTGGTATCACCATCGACATTGCCCTCTGGAAGTTCGAGACGCCCAAGTACATGGTCACTGTACGCATCGCCTCTGATCCATCTTATCGCTCCCATCACTCAAATTTTCCATCTTATCTAGGTCATCGACGCCCCCGGTCACCGTGACTTCATCAAGAACATGATCACCGGTACCTCGCAGGCTGACTGCGCCATCCTCATCATTGCCGGTGGTACCGGTGAGTTCGAGGCTGGTATCTCCAAGGACGGCCAGACCCGCGAGCACGCCCTCCTCGCCTTCACCCTCGGTGTGCGTCAGCTCATCGTCGCCGTCAACAAGATGGACACCACCAAGGTTCGTATCATCGTCGCAGATTTTTGTCGATCCGCCCTGATTGTATTCTGCAGTGGTCCGAGGACCGCTTCAACGAGATCGTCAAGGAGACGTCCAACTTCATCAAGAAGGTCGGCTACAACCCCAAGGCGGTCGCGTTCGTCCCGATCTCCGGCTGGCACGGCGACAACATGCTTGAGGAGTCCACCAAGTACGTACCACATTTTTCGTGCGCTTTGTAAGCATCGTTCTGATCTCGGCTGCAGCATGCCCTGGTACAAGGGCTGGACCAAGGAGACGAAGGCTGGTGTCACCAAGGGCAAGACCCTCCTCGACGCCATCGACGCCATCGAGCCCCCGGTCCGTCCCTCCGACAAGCCCCTCCGCCTTCCCCTCCAGGATGTCTACAAGATCGGTGGTATCGGCACGGTGCCCGTCGGTCGTGTTGAGACCGGTGTCATCAAGGCCGGCATGGTCGTCTCGTTCGCTCCCTCGAACGTCACTACTGAGGTGAAGTCCGTCGAGATGCACCACGAGCAGCTCGTCGAGGGTGTCCCCGGTGACAACGTCGGCTTCAACGTCAAGAACGTGTCCGTCAAGGACATTCGTCGTGGCAACGTCGCCTCCGACTCGAAGAACGACCCCGCCAAGGAGGCCGCATCCTTCAACGCCCAGGTCATCATCCTCAACCACCCCGGTCAGATCGGTGCCGGCTACGCACCCGTTCTCGACTGCCACACCGCCCACATTGCATGCAAGTTCGCCGAGCTCATCGAGAAGATCGACCGTCGTACTGGTAAGGTCATCGAGGCCGCACCCAAGTTCGTCAAGTCCGGTGACGCTTGCATCGCCAAGCTCGTTCCCTCGAAGCCCATGTGTGTCGAGTCGTACAACGAGTACCCGCCGCTCGGTCGTTTCGCCGTCCGTGACATGCGTCAGACCGTCGCCGTCGGCATCATCAAGTCGGTTGACAAGACCGACAAGTCGGGTGGCAAGGTCACCAAGTCGGCGGAGAAGGCTGCCAAGAAGAAGTAAACGTTGTTGTAGATTGCATTCTTTCTCTCTACTGCTCTCTGTCTCCCACGTCTACGCATCGTTTCCTCTTCCTCTCTCGCACTGACCAGGTGGTCCTCATCATCACGTTCCCTTCTCTGTCTCTTGTATCATCTGTACGTTTTACGACGACCGCCGGGTCTCTATCCGCGCGATGTAGCTTTACGGTACGGTGGTTCTGGTCGATGAAGAGCCGAATGCAATGCTGTTGTACCAACTCTCAGTATTCCGGTGTGAACGTTGTGAACAACGAGGACAACAGTGGCAACGATAAGAATGCAGAGAGCTTTGGCATCGCAAGTCGCGCCGCTGACGCCGGCAACGGGCCAAGGGTCAACAAGTTGCTTTCAACTATGATGTACAGACTGCTTGACACTCAGCGAGTCCAACTGTCGTAGCAGACGTATCGTCGAAGCGGCTCTCCGCGATAGCCGTCTGCCACTGCGAGCAGGCACCGCGACGGTGAGATATGAACGGCGCTCAGCTTGAACGCCGTACGTCTACAAGTTGATTCAGGCCGCCATCATCATCGCCGCTGTACATTCCGTGCGCGCTGGCGGTCTTTCATCTCGCATCTTGCGTCTGAAAGCATCGCAAAGCTAGTGTGTGTCGGTATACAACGCTTGGCTGCCAAAATGGGCAGCGGACCTTCTGAGCCGCTTGGCGCATCGAGCGCCGATATGAAGCTCGACGTAAAGCTTGATCCAGATGGTGCATTACCCGCACCTGTGGGTGAGCCCGCGAGGCGTACCCGAAGACTACCAGTGCTTTGGCGCATTCTCCTACTGCTCTGCGCGACACTGGCTGGATTGGGCATTCTACAGTATGGTTGGAGGACGCCACACAGTCCTGAAGTCCCGGAGAGCGACGCGCAGGCTTTGAAACCCAACTCGACCGGGCGTACGGATGCAGTACAGTGGGATGGATACAGCCTCATACTACGGGGTCAACGCGTCTTCATCCAGTGCGTCTCATCTCTCGAACGCGCGATCTTCGTAGCTGACTCTGCTCTTCAGCTCGGGAGAGTTCCACCAATGGCGTCTTCCTGTCCCTGCCCTGTGGCGCGACGTTCTCCAGAAGTTTCGCGCTGCAGGCCTCAATGCCGTCTCCATATACACGCACTGGGGGCTCATCGAGCCCTCTCGCGGTCAGGTCTCTTTCTCCGGCATCAACGCGCTCAAGCCCTTCTTCGAGCTTTGTCAAGAGTTAGGCTTGTGGGTCGTTGTACGACCGGGCCCATATATCAACGCTGAGACGACCGCGGGTGGAATTGCACATTGGGTCACGAGTGAGGTGCCGGGAAAGCTGAGGACGAATGAGAGTGAGTGGTGGGAGAGCTGGCAGGGATATGTGAAGGGTGTGATCGAGGAGACCGCGCCGTACCAGATCTCAGAGGGTGGACCTGTTATTGGTACGTATGTGCGCTTCTCTGGTGCAGGGACGGATGCTGATGAGTATGTTCATAGCGATACAGATGGATAACGAGTACGCGCAGACGCCGGAGGGCGCTGCGTACTTCCAGGCGCTTGTCGACGCATTCAAGGATTCACCTATCGTTGTGCCGTTGACATATAACGACCCCCATGCCGGAGAGAACTTCATCAACGGAACGGTAGGAGGCTCATGCATTGCGCTCGTGGCGGAAAGCTGATTCGCATCCTACAGGGATCGGTGGACATCTACGGACTGGACGCGTATCCGCAACGCTTCGACTGCTCGAACCCAGACAAGTGGAACCCCGTCGACGACACTTACCATGACTACCACATGCGTGAGGTCATCTACTCTGCATACATCGAACAAAGCTCATCCGGGATGATAGGCGTAAACCCAAGCCAGCCATGGTACATGCCCGAGTTCCAGGCTGGTGCCTTCGACCCGTATGGCCCTAGTGCACCGGGATACGATAAGTGCCGCGAACTCACGAACGCAGGATTCGAAAGGTGAGCTCCTTGATATATGGTACTTCTTTGGGAGTGTAACGAACTCTCGTCAGCGTCTTCTACAAGTCGGCTTGGGGTGCGAACGCGAAGATGATGAGCTACTACATGGTATATGGGTATGGTGATGTGTTTGTCTGCCGATGACGCCACTTACAGAGTTCGATAGAGGAACGTCTTGGGGCGGTCTACCTTTCCCGGAGGTGTACAGTATGTGCCCTGATATCTATGAAGCCTCTCGAAAGCTCACTTCTACTCAGCTTCATACGACTACGGTGCTGCGATCAGCGAGCCTCGCACCCTCACATCCAAGTACGACGAGCTGAAGGCGCAAGGCCTATTCTTGCGCTCTTCGACCAACTTCACCAAGACCGATTGGGTTGGAAACAACACGAATGGTGTCGTGGATGTCACAAACCCCGACGTGCTCGTTGTCGAGCTGCGTAACCCGGATACGGGTTCGGGTTTCTACATTGCTCGCCAGTTGAACTCGTCCAGCACGGACACCGTCAAATTCAACATGACTATCAACACAATTGAAGGTCCTCTGGATATCCCGCAGATCTCGGACGGCATTGTCCTGGAAGGACGCGAGGTATGTATTCCTCCTATTACCCGTGGACTGGCTAACAAGATTCCAGGCGAAGATGATCGTGACGGACTACTTCTACGGCTCCCTGGGCTACCTCTACTACTCTACGGCAGAGATATTCTTCGCGGGCACTGTCGGCGAACGGGATGTCCTTCTCGCGTACGGGCGTTCCGATCAGGATCATGAGATCGGCGTCTTCGGCGGGCACCTCCTCACAGTGCCCTCTGTGACGACTACATCCAGCGGGCTGGATGGCCTTCGCGCCATATTTGACGTCCCAGGGATGCTCGTCCTCTTCGCAGACGTACCTACGGCGCACACGTTCTTTGCTCCTCCCTTGAGTGGACCATCTGAAGACCCGTTCGCGAACTTCTGGGGTTTCGGTACTAACTCCAGTGTGCTCGTAGGTGGACCGTATCTCGTGCGCGATGCTCAGGTTGGCGCGGACAAGGTCGTCGCGCTCACGGGCGACATCGACCAAGACACGATCATCACCGTCATCGGGCCGGAGGACATGACCGGCGTCACCTGGAACGGCGAACCCGTCGGATGCGATCCGGACGCAAGTGAGCGCATCTCGAAGACTGGAGTCTGCGTCGGCGGAGTTCGTCTTTCTCCCATCGCTGGCAAGATCAATGTGCCGAAGCTCGAAGGGTGGCGGTTTGCGGACAGCCTGCCGGAACGCGCGAGAGAGTTCGATGATACGGAGTGGATCGTGGCGGACAAGACGTCCACGAATACATGGGAGCCACCTGTATATGGAGACGGGCGCGTGCTATACGGATGCGACTATGGATTGTATGTGCTTTGCAACGGTCATTCGTATCTTTGGCGTGTGCTGATGAGGGTGTAGCTGCGAGAATGTGGTACTCTGGCGCGGTCATTTCGAGGCTAGTGGCGAAGAGACGTCCGTCAACCTCTTGATCAATGGAGGCGATGGTAATGACACAGTGCCTCTTCATTCCCTTCTGCTATGTACTGAGGATTCTCCAGCTTTTGCTGCTTCTGTCTTCCTTAACGGCGTCTTCATTGGGACTGCATACGGAAAGTAAGCAAAGACTCAGCTAGCTCATTCACGGAAACATCATTGAACCTGCATCTGCAGCTCGACGAACAATATGAACATCATCGCAGAAGTCGACGCAGAATACAAGTTTCCTACTGGCGCATTGCTTCCAGGGCAGGACAACGTCATCACCATCGTTCAGGACAACATGGGTCTGGACGAGTCGGGGGGTAAGCGTATGGCGATGACCATCCAACCGATCGTGTATACTCATGAACCTGTAGACGAATGGGAGGTCGACATCCTACGTTCGCCGCGCGGTGTGCGGGGCTTCCAGCTCAACCCCAGTGGTAACTTCTCGGAATGGAAAGTCCAGGGCAAGTTGGGAGGCTACACGGCGTACGTCCTACGCCGCATCTATCGAAGGTCAGCTCTGACTGAGTGTTGATAGGTTCCCCGACACATTACGCACTATCACGAACGAGGGCGGGCTCTTTGGCGAGCGCGAAGGCTGGCATCTACCCGGATACGACACCTCTTCTTGGGTAGAGCGCGCGCTGGACGAAGGTCTTCCCGATGCACACGCTGGAGTCGGGTTCTTCGCCACGACCTTAGAGCTCGATATTCCCGAAGGCTTGGACGTGATGCTCAGCTTCGTCTTCGACGAGGGTGTGGGCGAAACGGGCTCTCCGTATCGTGCACTGTTGTTCGTGAATGGCTGGATGATGGGCAAGCGTGTCGCGAATCTCGGGTACGTTCGTAAAGCCTTTTACATACAGGATGAGGCTGATCATCTCTTGCACAGTCCGCAGGCTAAGTTCCCCGTGCACGAGGGTATTCTCGATTATAGCGGTACCAAGTAAGTCTCAACAACCCTGCACTTGCTCATCGGTTTTGATCATTCATGTAGTACCATCGTCGTCGCACTGTGGGCCCTGGACGACCAATCAATATCGCCGTCCTTGAAGTTGGCGGTGGACAGAGTTATACAGGGCGGTATAGGGCGGATCGTAACAAATAACCCGACATACTCTGACCTTCGAGTGATGAGTGTAGTAGCTCCAATAGGCGACTGAGTGAGAAGCATAAAATCTATTCTATTGACTCTGTTAGAGCAGCAGATCGTAAACCGTATGACGAGCTCAATGTGTCCCGGTCCGTCACGGCAATCGCCTACACGTATCGCCCAACACAATATACTTGGTGGCAGATTTACGGAACTGGCACCAACATAAGAGTGTGGTTCTTGAGACTAAAATCTATAAAAAGAAAGTTTCGGAGTGGACAAGCTGGGGATTGAACCCAGGGCTTCTCGCATGCAAAGCGAACACGCTACCACTGCGTCACTTGCCCATGTATATGTTGTGTTTTAGCTGTATATAATCCGTATTGCACGAGTTCGTATTATCAGCTGCTGTAAGTTAAGGTAGAGAATAACGGAACGAACAACACATCATCAATGAGGAGAAACAATGATGTTGTCAAGCTGCAATATCGGTCTCCACTTTCCGGCAGAAACATGTAGCAACCCGATGACCAGTACCCGTTCCCGAGTAATCACGTACGGATTGTTTCCATACCCGAGCGTCCACGCAGCAAGTGTCGAGGGTCGGCCATTATACTTCTATAAGGACATCAATTCCTGCTAGTAAGCTGGGACGGAAGGGACATACGTCAAAGAACGCATTTGCTACATCCAATGCGCGTTCAATGGCCCAGCGCATCGTGGGGCCGGATTGCTGGCCTTTGAGGTTGAGTTGTTTCTCGAACCCAACGTCGTATCCAGGCCACTGTGAAAACAAGGATATGAGAATTGATCACTAAGTGAGCCTAGGGTACATACGTCGACCTCAAAGACAACGAATTGCTTGTCCGAGATTCTGACGATCTGGTCGAGGTTGGCCATTTCTTGCAGAGCTGACCCGTTGAACGCGGCGCTTAGCGGAATACCAGGTTGACCAGTTCGCAAATTGTGGAAGAAAACCGGCGGGTATAATCGCGGCAGTGAGGGGTTTGGGCCGGCGGGTGACGTCTGCTTGAGGGCGACGCGTTGCGGGTGCATGAAACGGCGATATACAGCGGGGACGACAGAGCCGGGGCGGATAATTCGGTAGTCGAGAATGATAGGATGCTGCGACGACGAGGCTTTGGGATACGCGATGGCCATTGATCCCGATCCCGGATAGTAATACGCTCGTGGATGAGAATCTTCTGTGTGGTCGAGGAAGAAGTTCCAGTACAGGAAGGCATCCTGAACGTCAAAGACAGCGGCAATATAGCCAGCGAGAAGCACGCTCATCTGCATGATGGAAATGAATATCAGCATTCAGCGCGAATTAGACATAGACATGCGTACTGAAAAGGCAGGATAGACCTTGTAAGAGGTGAGAGAAGAGGTGAGACGGCCGAAGATACCAGGGACGAAAGACGAAGCTGCTGCTGACGGGTTGGCACACAGTTCAGCGCATACTTATATCTGCAAGAGCCGCTCGAGGAAATATGAGTTCGAGGGTTTCAGTCTTGAAGGGAGAAAGTGGCCACTTGTTCGTGAACCCATTTCGAGAACAAGAGCAGCTTTGGCAAGCTTTGGAGGCGTTGTTCACCCCTGGAGGTCCGAGGAGCGGCTAGGCAACCCCCTTCAGCAGTACCGGCAGGCGTGTCATCGTCAGTGTTTCGTGCACTTGCGGCAAGAAGTGGCGGACATGTGCATTGTACTAGAACGGAGTAATGCCAAATAGTGATACATTGGGGCCGGCCACAGTATGTCACGAAAGGAAGTCTGAAGGCAGTCCGGCCGATGACTACAATCTCGATGTGTTGCGGAGGTTAACCTCGTATGGCATGAGCATTGCCATCTGATGCGCCACAGCTAGGCAACGTTGTTCTTGCCGCCATCCGTTCGTGGGTGGCTTGCCACTGGCAATCTCTCCAGGAGCAGTCCATATCTCCACGTATACGTCGTGACGGCCGTGAGGGTCGTTGACGAAGCGCATAGACGAGAATGCGCCTAGGGTCCGTAGATCAGTCCCCCGTGGTATAGGGAACTTGAATTCGACAGACATCGTTATGGTCGGGTGCCAACTCGGAGGCAAATCTGCCAACATGTGGGGCAATGCGTTGGGGAAGAGGTCCGCGAAGAGCGACAGTACGGCCGGGTTCATGGGCTCCGCCTTGTCTATGAAGGACCAGTACGCTCCCATCTCAAGACCGCCTGCACCATCGCGTGCTTGAGTTTGTTGATAGTGGTCGCGTACAGTCTGGTCACGCGAGTAGTTGAGACGGTCGCTAAACTTGGTGCGGAGGGTAGATTGCGATATGAGTTCGGTCGAGGCCGGCGGCGTTCTGAAGGGGGTGATTCGCGCTAGCGGCGAGGGCGGCTCCAACATGAGGTTCGGACCGCCTGGGTTTGAGGCAGGATCCATTGTGCCGAAAACGGCATGTGAAGTGACCTTGACCACATCCTGCGCACGTCATGGCAGTCAGCTAGATGCTTCTCGACAATCTTGGTTGACGTTGATGCACCTTCTGTCGCAGCTCGGCCGATAAATTACAGGTCGTCTTTCCTGTGCGTATGGTCTTGATATGCACCTCGAAAGGCCCGATGGCCGTGGGCCTCAGATAATGTGTCGTGATATGGAGAATGTCCGGTAGCGCAGCTTGCGCTTGATCCAGAGTCAAGGCGCCAACCAAAAGGGCGAGCACGTATCCTTTCCCATCCTTATCAGACTCAACATTTCTCTTCAAGAGCACGCAAACGCACCGCCGTGTGGAACACTGAGAGAGGGTTTGTGAGTAAAGCGGAATGCCATTCCAGAGAATATGGACGTACGCGCCGATGCACCAGTCCTGGTCCGCCAAACCCTCATAAACGCGCGAGCCGTCTTGCTTTTGGTCTTTGAGCTTTAGAGCAGTTGCTTCACTGAACGACGACATGGTGGTGCTGGGAGGGAGAGATACCCGGCCCTCGACCGGCTTGAATGTTCATATTGTGCAACCGGCCATGGCAGCAGGAACCAAACGATAATCATGTGGGAAAGCACCATGCAAAGACGCTGACGGCCGCCTCGGCTTTCTGACCTGTGCCCGACCTACGCGGGATACTTGAAGTCTTGAATACATACAGCGGGATGACGGAGGGTGACATGCACCTGCCTAGCAATCCCGTACTCAACTAGGCAGAAGGCCAGCTCTAGACCCTCGCGATCAGTGAGAGCGCTCACGATTGTGATCATGCACATCATTTACACACGGATGCTGCGTTCCCATGCGTACCAGTACTCCGCTCAGACGGAGGCCAGTGCATGACGCCGTGCAGAAGATCGACGGAGCGGGTCACATCGAGATATTTACTCGCTCAACGCCGCGCATCAGACGCGTGAGTGCATCTTGCGTCTAACCACCACGACGAGCGTTCATCGAAGTGAATGTGCTGTCTGACTGCCGATCTAGCGCGCAACGCTTACCGACCTCACTCGTTACATATTCAACGAAGCGAGAGTGTAGAGATCATGCGTCTGAGCTGAGATGCTTTCCATCTTACCTCTGGGATCGCCATCAGCTCTACGTCCTGCGAAGGCGTTACATGTCAGGAAAGACATCCTAAACTCCTACTACGAGGAGGGATTCAACTACTCGAAGTAAGGCTGACAGTCAAACTGCGATGATATGGGATTGACCGTCACACAGGTCGTTGAATGGTCATAAATCCTGCGTCAACGCTCTAGCTTTCACTAGTGGAGATGGCCGTCATATGGCCAGTGCTGGAGATGGTAAGACCGGAAGACAGCTAATGGCGGAGCAAGAGTTTGCTCATGAGTTCTCATTCTTCAGACCGTACCGTACGGCTTTGGGATCTTCATCGCGACGAGATCGCGGTCACATCCACGTTTTCGGGGCCACGAGTCAGTAAAAGTGAACTTGAGGATCTCATCTGGAACTGAGATTCGCCTAGGGCAACGTCTTTTCACTTGCGTTCTCGGCATCAAACAAGTACCTCTACTCGTGGGTCTGATATCAATCCCCTTAAGACTGGTGTATGTCTGAACGATCCTCTCAGCGGAGGAGTGGACTGTAAAGTCTTCCGGTACACATTGGGAGCAAACGATGGCGCCGCAGATACTGTCTGGGGGTATCATGACGTTTGTGGTCTTCCTCGCAAGGCAATACGCTTACGTACTTATTTCAGCTCCAGGAGGATGTTCGCGCGGTCACCGCGCATCCATATAATGACGACGTCCTCCTCAGCTGTGGCGAAGATGGCAAAGTTATATTGTATGACTCTCGCTCGGATTTCACTCGCGCGCAAGCGACCCTTCAGCTCATGTCGGAAGTGACATGCGTACAGTACAACCCTCAGATGGACCACGTCTTTGTAACCAGCGACGCGGCGGGTAAGGTCTGCTTGCGCGATGCGCGCATGGCCTTCGGGCCATTAACTTCACGCTCTCAAAGTGGAGCTGTTCATACGGTACCCCTAACTTGTACACTCAACTCTTCCATGGGCTCACTCGACGCAATAGTATGCGACAACCCTGCAAAAGCCTTCAGGGGCGTATACCAAGCCCACTGTCAGCAGCGTCGTGTTCGATGCAGATGGTACAAATGCTTCTTGTCACCTATCAAATCACAAGCTGATATATCTCGCAGGCTCGAAGCTATGCGTTACGTCACAGGTAGGCATTGCCCTTTGCCAGATGCAATACCTGTACGAACATTGAACACTCTCACAGCACTTCTATCCTACAATATACAGCGTTGGAGACACGGCTCCGCTAGCCATCTGCACAGGTAGGCTATTTCCGGATGGGAACCCTCCTCCAGGTGGCGAGCGCACCTATAGTAACAATGCCACTATCAAGGTCAGTATCTCTTTCATGCTACACCTGTTTATCGGAGACTGATTGTGGTGACGTGGTAGCATGGTTCCTTCGGTGGCCCGGACGGTGCATACTATGCTGCTGGCTCTGACGATTTCCGAGGCTACGTATGGGGGATACCTCCAATACGAGAGTTGCAAGAACAGCGCCAAACTATTGATCAAGCAGAATGGCGTACCAGGGAAATCAGTCAGGTAGCAGATTCGGGTATGTTTCACGCCCCGCTTCTCGCCCAGGTATTGACTCTGGACTCCTAGCTTTCTCTGATACAAAGAGCGACCGCCAAGCACGTTACATCCCCGTGCAACTGGACCGGCCTGAGTTTCATCTTCGTGGACATCAGTCAATCGTAAACTCTGCTCTTGTTCACCCTCATCTCCCGCTCATCGCCACGGCCGGCATCGAATCGCACATCATGCTTCACTCGCCCACGGCCGGCGTACCATTCAGTCAAGAGCCACTGGGTGTAACACGTCTAGATACGCGTCGGCTCCCTCTTGCATCTCCCGAAGATAGAGTCGCTATTCGGCGTATATTGATGGGCATGGAAGCATCACCGGATGATGAAGACGACTCCGCAGATCACATAACCATCCAGTTGTTCGACGAGTGAGCCTAACGCGGTTGTGTCTAGATGCGATGAGCTGACATCACGGACAGGATATTGCGGACAGAGGGAGGAGACGACGACAATGGTCCTTTCGACACCGGGCTATCGTGGCTTTCCGACGACACCGACTGGGACAGCGAGTCTAACTCCGACGACGCAATGATGGTGATTGACAGCGATGAGGGCTAGTATGTATACAGTTAAACATGTTACAGCAGATCGGTGTCTCTCGAGTTAACTTCCCGGAGACGTATCTCAAGCGCTATCCAACAGTTGTGTGAAATCCCCGCTTTCTTCACCCTCCCGCATGATCACAATGCCCCCACGCGCCTTCCCCTTCTCGTGCAGAAACTTTTGAGCTTGTGCGAAGGCCCCGCGGCGCTCGAAGCTGGATGCTTCAGCGCCAATCCATACGTACACCGCAGGGTGCTCCGCGGAGAGTGCATCAAGGAGGAAGGCATCGCCTGAGGACAAAGCAGAACGCGAGACGGGAGACACCTCGCTCACACCTGAGCTGTCAGAGAACCGGAAGAGCTTCAGGTCAAGCGTGTGGGCATCCTGTCCTTCCCGAGTGGGGACGGTTTCTGCGCCGAGGGCCGAGAGGAAGACGCCCACGCCCTGACCACCTTCGTCTGCACCAGAATCAGACAAAAGTATGAGCATGACAAAGAAAGACCGCCATACCATATACCGTAGACTCGCAGGCACCTTGTCTTGCGTTGACAATGCTTTGTGTGAACTCCGCGGCTTTGAACTTCTCCTTGCCGACAGCACCGCGGGTGTTGAGTTGCCACACTTTCGAGCCTTGATCCAAAACGAAGACGTCGCCTTGAGCGAGACTCGCAGCTGTAGCCGCAACCTCGCGCACAAGCAGACTCTTGCCGGATACACCGATCCGGTAGAGCCTTGGGGTATCATCAACCGGCGTTGCTTCGACGTGATGAAAGCCTGTGGATACACCACCATGCAGTGCGTGAAAGGCCGGGAAATAAGATAAGAAACGCGTCGATTCGTAAGACTGTACTTCGCGATGCTGAACAGGTCGTCCGTTCAGATCTGTGTGTAGACAGTCTTCAGAAACAGTCCGCGATCATCGATGGTGGTGAGACGACTCACGGTCATCAAGTTCGACTGTCTTGTACGCTGCCGTGCCGGCCTCGTCTTGGCTTGTCTCCTCGCCTAGCCAGAAGTGTAAGTCGTAGGAGAGGGCCTCAGCTTCCGGGTCTTTCTTGTAGGTCTGAGAAAAGACGCCCCTTCTCAGCTTATTGACTTCATCGTGATAGGTAGCCAGCAGACTTACGTGCAGGACGATGTACGAATCACCGTCATAGAAGGACCCATACCGGTCTTTGGGCCAGTCTACAACGTTGAAATGCTCGATGCGCCAGATCTGTAGTCCAGGTTCGAGACCAGCGCTTTCCCATGCAGTCTCCTTATCCCCTGCATGCTCGCGTACGCGCTTTTCAATCTGAAGAGCGCCCGATCAGTCGTCGAGCTACAACAGCACAGGTAGAACAAGTCAGACATCTGAGCCAAAGAGCGCGATATTGGAGTCTTCGATATCGTACTTAGGTAGATGAGTGAGAAGGGCCATAGCGACACAGTGCAGTCGGTCGCGATGGTGGTAGAAATGTAAGTTCGTCGTCAATGGCCAGATGATGGATGTTCACATGCGGGGTAATATGATAAACACGCGTCGACGTCATCAGCAAGCCGCACAAACCACCTCACATTCAGCTTGTATTTGAAGTCTCTGCCGGCGATATAAACGGGATCGATCTTCCAGATCACAGTTGTACATATGTTGACAGCTTTGATTCGTGTCACAATGTTACATCTTTGCCAGACCAGACGTGAATATATACAGGAAGAGCGGAGCGGAGCACCATGGTGTTACACTAGTCCGTACGGAATACATAGTTCAAATTCGAAGCTACCCGATTCGCGAAGAGGTACTGACCCGCCGCCTCGATCTTCAAGCGTCGTACGCAATACGCGCGCCGATCCAAGCGTATGGGTAGATGCGCTGGTAGTAGTTCACGAGCGAGCGCCGCTCCGAGAGGCGCGGCACTGTCGCGTAGGAGCCACCAATGACGGCATTGTGCAGCCCGTCGAAGAAGTCGGTCGAGTACCTGTTCATCATGAGAGACTGCTCCATGTAGAGTTGATAGAGAGATAGACGTACCCAGGGTACAGACTCATGGGCTGGAATCCCTCATAGTTGTCAAATACTGTTGACGTCCACTCCCACACGCCACCGTTGTGCCCCCGCCCGTCCTTCCCGCCGCCCGCGACCCCAGTGGTCGCGGGGACGGGGTGCCAGTTGCGGAACGCAACGTTGCGGCCACCCTCAAAGCCGCACTCAAACTTATCATAGAACAAGCGAAGTTCAGGTTCAGTTGGGATACGTCCGCCCTTGACGCTGGCGTACGTGCTGAGGCTGACGTAATCCGTAAGCACGGGCCATTCATAGGCGACCTTGAACGGGACTGGACCCTCGAGTGTGCGCACGCAGATCGTCTTCTCGTCGTCTGGATTGCCAACCCACGACTTAGGCATGCCGATCTCGCCCTTGCGCATGCGCCAGAACTCGAAGAACTCGCCGTTCGTGACTGGGCGCCATTCGATGCGGAAGGCACCGACTTGAACCGCGCGGCGAGGGTGCTCGTTGTCCCATCCGACTTCGCTCTTGCGGTCGTACAGCTGCTCGCCGTCAGCCGCCTCAGCGTCGTCGTGGCCAAGGTACACCTCCGCCGGACCGAGCGTCACGGTAGGGGTCGTCGGCTTCGGTGCGGTCTCCCACGAATCTGCCAACGACTTCCAGGGCGGCGGGTGGAAGCCTGAGAGAGAGGGCGCGACAGTGCCGGTGCCGGCGCGTTGCAAAAGCATGTAGAGCAGAGTCTGTATATATTTCAGCGAGAGACCCAGAGGGAAGCTTTATTGTGGCTGACCTCGGCATGGAAGCCCTCGTGCTCGAGCGTGAGCATCAGCACGCGCGCTATGCGGCGAGTCAACGGGCGCTTGCCCGACTCGATGTCGTCGTACAACGCCCGAAGACGAGCGCGTACACGAGACTGGAATTCGAGGATGTCCACGAGTTTGGGCCAATCCTCATCCTTCGTTGGCACCTCCGAATGAGGCTGTAATGTGGTCAGATAGTATGCTCTGAGCTTCTGTGAGATTGGCGTACGTGAACTTGGTCCGGGTTGTCGACGATAGGATCAATACCGCGCTGTATGATGGTTAGCTGTTGTGATTGATTCACAGCATTGTGATCCTGACCTCGAAGATGTACTACGGTGATTATGAGCTTCCGTGCATAGAAGTATACATGATGGCGCATACCTTATAGCCGTCAGGTTCAGTGTGAGGTTCTTTGAGCAACTTGCTTAGGTGGATGTCCAAGAATGTGGGAATATGGCCTGTGTAGAATAGACAGATGTGACGCAGGTCGATCGGCTTCTGAAGTAACATGCTGTCGGGGATCATCCGGCGGGTGACGAAGTCCCACAGCGCCCACATGTCCTGGAAGTCTTGGAAGGACGGGCATCCGAACGGAGACGAACTAAGCGCCGTGGGCTGGAAGCGCGGGAAGGAGAATGGCGGACGCTCCAGCAGCCAGAGTGCGTAGCCGGTCTCGGCATCGACCCATCGTTGGATCGGGCGGAGATTAGCGTCGGAGAAGACCTTCCAGGCGTCTTCTTCAGAGTACTGGGTGAAAGTTAGGCTACATGATGGGGGCTGAACATGTGTGACTAACCTTGCAAGATACCTCGACGCTTATCAATTCACCTTCCGCAAACGTAAGCTCCTGCTCAGTTCCAGGGACACGAATAGTCTGGTTACGAGGCGAGCGGTAGAACGCCTCGTGTCTGCGGAGCTCCTCGTTGTAACGCGCGCTGTACTCGAATGCACCATCAAAGAGGGCCTCGTCTCCGAGCGTGCGTCCTGCGCCCTTCAGGCCGTTCAGGATGAATCGCGCGGTGATACCGTGGCGATCATTGTAGGCCGCCTCGATCTGCGCCTTGTTGCGACCATGATCCATCCCGAGCAACAGCGTGTCACCCGTCCCCGCACGGAGGGGGAGTGAGCGTAGGAACTCAGCGTCCGCGCCGCGAGGGAAGTTGCCGAGCGAGGAGCCGAGAAACATAACATGCATGGGCTCGTCGAGTGCTGCAGCACCCGGTGTGCTGGGCGCCGTGTCCTCGGAGGCGCGAGAGAGCGACGTGATGGAGCCCGACAACGCATCCGAGCCCGACTCGGCCGAGAGCGAACGAGCGCGAGCAGCGAGGCTGTCAGCAGCGCCGCGGCCGCGGAAGCCACCCTCCTGTACGAACTTGAGACCGCCGTCGTACGTGCCCCACATCCCCTTGGTGGAAACGCGGCCACTGAGCTCTGGTCCGAGGTCGCTCTCGGCGAGCTCGCCGAGCGTACGCTGAAGTTCATTCTTCTCGAGGTCCAGCGCATAGTAAAATACGGGCGGGGTGTCTTGCTTTTCGGGCACAGCGCGAGCGAGTGCGCGGAGGACGTGTGAGGTCTTGCGAAGGGCCCTTTGTTCGAACTAGCATAAGCACATGAACCGAGAGAGTGGATGCGGAGAATCGATAAGAGGATATCGGCGAGCGCGCTGAACGTTGATGCGGCGCAGCGGAACGCACGCTCAGGGGCTAAGCGCGCGATGCGCGACGCGTCCGTCCGCACGCGTCCTCTTCCGCCGCCGCCGACGTAGCATCGCAGAGCAAGCATGGGCTGAAAGAACTCACCCAGCACCGAGCTCCAGAACGACGCCATTGGGCACCGACGAACCATCCGGACGCGCGTTCATAACGCCGACGATCTCATCGGCGTGTTCCTTGAGGATACGCTCTTCCGCGCCAAACAGGTAGTACTCTTCGGCATCGGTGGTGATCTCGTCGTAGATGCGTAGGCCACGCTCATCGTAAAGCAGCAGAGTGGGCAGATTCTTCTCGCCCTGTGGCTTGGAGAGTCCGTCGAGAATTTCTTGACGCATGTCCAGCTGGCCGTTGGCAGCCTTGTCGTTGACGCGCACGTCCACGATGTCCACGGTGTGCATGGCTAAAGGGTATTTGGATGGGAGGAGATGAACGTGGAAAGAGAACCGTGAGCCTTTATAAATGGCAGGTCCGTGCTGCGAGTCTGGCCGGGCGGTAGTGCTGTTCTGAATCCCATCTCTGCGCGATGGACTCTCCTTCACCGTGACCAAGTTGAATGATGTCATCAATTCGTCTCCTGATCAGCCGTCTGGTCCCACAGAGTCCCCAGCCTTCCCGCCTGATGAACCCAGAAGCGCTCAGGCGCTCAGATCCGCCCGTGCATCGTGCGGGATGCTCTCGACGAGCACCGGCCGATGTGCCCGCCTTTCGCGTCGCGCTGCCATGTTGCTCGATAAAGTGCGAGCGCCGGCCTTTGCGCGCCCTGTTCCAAACCGTCTTCGATCATTGGAAGCTTCCGCATCACGACACCGCCTTGCACCAGACATTTGTCCTCGAGCCTTCGAGACACAGGTTCCTCGCTTCCAGCTCGCACGTCGATGGGTATCGCACCGAGCTCGCACGTTGACCGAACAGACAACGTTTGCTACTGTTCCATCAGTCGAGAGGACCTCCGCTGTATGCGAAGAGAGATAGACGGACACAGGTGAGAAGACTAGACCCTGGCTACAGATCAAGCACCCGACCATGCCGCGAGTCTCCTTCAAGCTCAGCACGCCACTATCTATAAGCATCTAAATTCGCGCACGGGTGTGCGAGGGTCCGCTAGGTATAGGGTAAGCATCGTCGCACAGATTCAGAGCAAAACCAACGTTTCTCAAGCAACGAAGGATACGAACGTCGCATGACGCTCAGTCGCCACCACCGCGCGTCCGACGAGCTCATCGCGCGCTACGGCCGCCGCTTCTCCCGGAAAATGGAGGATTTCAAGGGCGCAAACATCGTAACGGGATGCTTCCTACAGAAGGTGGACGGAAAGATGTATCCGAAAAAAGGGCGCAAGTACCCTGACCACCCATCCTGTTCTGTATCTGGTCCCCGTTCAACCTCGCTGTGTGGAATAGACTTCCTATTCGTGGAGCGATCGTACATGCGGTTCCTCCAAGACGTTAATGAGATCGAATCGAGCTAGGTACATCGGCAGAGATGCGTGAACTGCTGGAGTCATGTATACTCACTGGTCAGGGCTGACGTCGGCAACACTGCATGGCTCCTTCCTTTTTCTATCAATATACCCCAAAGCTTCTGTGCCTGTTGCGTCTGTAAGTATAGCGCCATAACCATTGCCTCCAAAGAGTTTACGACTCATCATTGTGGAGATAGCGGTCAAACGACAACTGTAGACTGACTCAGCGCCAGCCAGATAACCTTGCACTTCTCGGTAAGGCCTGAGAGGAAACACATATCCATATGGTAAGTAAATGATAGCGAAGATAAGCACCCAATCCTCGATCCTCCAACTCCTGACCGGCCGCGAGCGAAGCAGACACGATTGTAAGGAAGGGGCGCGCGCGCTGACAGAACCTCGGCGAGCGTTACTCAGCTTTCACTTGAAACGGAGAGCTATTGTCGCAAAGGAGATGCGCGGATATACTGTTCTTGGTTAAAGGCATGATCAGCCTGACTCGCGCGCGAAGCAAACCTCGATGATCGCAGGATATGCCTGCAGGTTTCCTCGCCGTCCGTGCCCCGATCGCAACAATAGTGCAGTACAAAGCCGCCTTGGATTCATAAGCAATATCGGCAGAGCAACGCAGCATACTTGCTTACAAGTGTCTGTCGAGCCGAAGAGCGGGGATCCATCCGCGGCGGGTCTAATCGCGAGTTACAGCTCCCGACGACCTCGTATGCAAGAATCAGACACAAGCTGAGCTCTACACAGAAACTGAACGAGTTCATCTCCGTCACATATCGTTCTGGGAAGATGGCAGTTGAAGACGAAGGGTGGATCCGCGTATACGCAACGGGCCAAAACGCGTCGAAGGCAGTGCCATTTCCCAAACCGCGTCGCGTTTGGTCACGCGCAATCAAACCGTCACGTCACGCCTAACTGCACGGAGCCGAGCGCCTCAACGGCGGCGCCGGCGGCGCCAACGCTCGTCATTCGGTCTTCAGCGCTTCAATAGCTACCAAGCTTGCAGTAGAACCTGTATCCGTAGCCATTCCAGTCTATCATAAACCGTACGCTAGATATCAAGTCCACCTTGCGCGAATAAAGCTTCTGCCACATGTGGGAGCACTCCTGAGTATGTCTACGGAATTTAGGGTGCGTTCGGCAAAAATGAACGATGACGAAAATCATGATATTTTGCCCAAACAAGACAATTCTGACGAAACTTGAAGTCCTTCGAGAGCTTTCTGGCCAATCAGGAGTAAATCAGGAGGCTTAGTCTTAGTCAGGCCAAAAGTCATAGATTTCGAAGGCCTTCGTTTTTGCCGAACGCACCCTTAAGAACGCAAATACACAGCAAGGTCACAGAGCCCGAAAGCGACACAGATATAAGTACACAAACGAAATACAAGCCCACTAATATGTCGTAGAGTCCTGCAGCCTCCATCTCCTGAGTGGCTCCCACCACCACATGCCGCTGCCCGCGCCTCTCCTCGCTCGCTCTTTCTCCTCCCGCTCATCCTCAACATCTTCCTCAGCATCTCTCCGCTCTCTTGCGTTGCGCACATCCCGGCCCAAGCGCACCCTCTCCCGCACACCATAATGGCCCAGCCCCCAGCCATGCACACCATTCTGTGGTTCTTCTGAGCCATACGCGTCGGCCAATCGGCCCGCTTGTTCCCGCACGCGCGCTTGTGCCGCAGTCATGTGCGAATGACGGATGTACGCGAAGCTCGAACGGAACATCGCCAACACGCGCCCAGTAAGAGTTGTCGGCGGGCTTTGTTGCGTCGAAGAGGTGCTGCCCGTTGACGACGCGTTCGATGATGAGCTCAACGTTGGCACAACGGGAATGACGCTCGGGGGCAAGCTGTCGTCCTCGATCTCCTCGCTCGTCCCGCTACTCGCACGTCTCCGTCTCCGGGCGCTGAGCCTGCTCGTCGCATTGCTCCATAGCTCCCGCGCCTTCTCCTTCTGCTCTCGGCGTTTCTCATCCCGTTGTTGTCGGCGTCTCCTACGCTTCTCCTCGCGTCGCAGGAAATCTTCCACTTCTCCAACACCCATGCCGGCGCCAACCCACCACCACCACCCTAGGAAGCTCTGCCATAACATCACTGCGCCCGTGAGCGGTGGCATCCAGTCGTATTGCTCCGCCGATGGGATGTAGACGAACGTCAACGCGCACGACGCCAAGGCTAGGAAGAGTGCCCCGCCGCCAAACGCCGCCGTGCCACCATCCGTACGCCATGCTTGTTTGCGATTGACGAAGAATCCCCATAGGACGAGCGCGAGGAGGAATATGAGCGAAAGCGAAGCATTGCAGACATTCCGTACGGCTTCGGCAAAGCGCTCAGCACTTCCATCTAGCTTGATCGTAGCGATCTGCATGACTGCAGCGACGAGCGAAAGCGGTCCTGACGGAAAGTGTGAGCGCGAGATATGGAAGAATGATTGAAGGTCGCACGAACCCAAGAGGACAAAGATCAGGCTGGCTTCGAGTCGTGAGGGGTACATTAGCGTCAGAAACTGGATATGCGTCATCTGTCCTTGAATTAGAAGATGCGTGGCCTGATAGTAGAAGTAGGACATGCCTGGATGAGGACGCCCCATAGGGCGCTTACCAGCTGCCATCCGGTGACACTGGATTGTGACCATGTTCCGTTCTTCAAAGTTTGTAGAGTGAGGGGTGGCAGGTCGACCGCAATGTAGTTGAGCATGTATGGCCATTCCTTGCTTTGCGCAATACAAGCTTCCACGATGGTCATCAAACTCGCGATGCTTCCCGCGAGAAGCGCCACCAAAGCGGCAGCCTGGAGAACAAAGTTGGTGCGCGCAAGCTTCCAGTGATATTGAGCAGTAAATGCGAGTTGGACGGCGAGCACGCCCAGAAGCGTGAGGGTTACGGTCGTGACGAGGATCTGAGTGGGGAGGGAGCGCGAGAAGTCTGGGCGGTAACGGAGGTAGGGGTTCGAAGGATAACTGTGATTGTGATGCTCAGGCATAGATTCTAGCGTCTTGAGAGGGTAGGACGAACGCATTCTCGTCGTCCGTGTCGTTGGACTGTGCCAGGACGACGCTGGCGAGAGCAAAGGCTTGAAGACCGCGCACCATGATCATGGTCTTGGCCTGATTTCTTGGCTGCCCTCTAATCCGCCACACAGGTCCCGCTATTACGCATGGCCCCCGTCAGCACCTCTTTCCGTCTTCTGAAAGGAATATATACGGGGTGTACCTGCCTTGAAATGTAGTGCACAGCGCCGACGTGGGTAGAGTCTACAGCGCTGTTGACGGCAAGAACGATGGCCAGGGTTTCCCGGACTCCGCGCTAGCCCAGACTTCGCGCCCACGGCTTACAGCCTTCAAACGCCGATGTGACTGGTCACACTCTTCCCCATCCGTACACCTGCCAGTGGGGCGCGTTTTGGCACTCATGTACTGTAAGAGAGAGCTATACGGCTAGCGGCCTTGAGAGATCCTGTCTTCAGATCTTGACAGACATACGACAGATCAGAGATTGCCACTCCGGACGAATCCAGGCCTTTGACGTCGTCGGACGACGTGACCACGCGGCACGCTAAATCCGTATACAGGTTTAGTCGCCTTGTTTCCTCTTACCGCCACCTACTCCCTTGGCGTCTCCGAAGATGGAGAAGCAGGCATTGTTGTCCATGCTTCAGGACCTGTGAGATCCTGGAATTCTATGTACACTTATTGACATGCTGATGCGTTAGTTCCCAGTGCTCCTTCGGAGCTGTTCGAAGGCGTTGAAAGCGCGCAAAGCGCAAAGGAACTCCTCCCACTTCTGGACGCAGAACTGCAGCGGTGCACCAACCGTATGCAGCGCATTCAGCAGTATCGCAATAAGCTATCCTCGCCCATGTATACCTTACTACCCGAGTTATTGTCCAAGATCTTCGTCATCTACGCTCAAGATCAGCTTGAGCTATTTAACTTGCGCTGGACGAAGCTGCTGCTCGTATGCAGACGGTGGTATGATGTCGGCGTATCGACTCCCAAGCTCTGGAGCTACATCAGCCTTGTCGACCCCTCAGCGACAGCCTTTCACTTTTCCGGCAACGCCCAACTTCCGGATGCGCGCCTCGCTAAACGTATCGAGGCTCAACTCGCTCGTGCGGGTACTGCCCCGCTCACCATCAAGACAGGCGCATTGGGACGTAGATCGGACGCCTCTGAGTCCATGAAGCCCTATAGATCTGTCTTCTGGAATGCTGGCTCGCTCGCCTCATTGTCTTTATCCGGAGATAAGACCAATGTCACCGCTACTTTGAACGAGATGGCTCGTCATCGCCATCCCGTCTTGAAGGAGATCTCGATTGTTTACGAGGGGATTCGTTTTCACATTGGGACTGGTCCTCTCCCAACGACACCACACCTGCCTAGCAACACGCCTATCCCCCTTCCCGATAATCTACTGGGAGACAATTCTCCCAAACTCTCTACGATCTCCATCAGTGGAGTAACGCTCAATTGGGCATTGGTCCAGAACCTTCGCGCTCTGCACGCCACCTTCGATGACAATACCACTCCCGCCACCTCTCTTGACAATATCGCCGATGCCCTTGCTCGCTGCCCGCGCCTTGAGGACCTTCAGATGATGTTACCCACCTCCTTCCTCCCCAACGGCGCCGAGACATTAGCCTCTATACCGCTCAGAAGCCTGCGTAAGGCAACGATCAGGGCAAACTCTGACATATGTGCCGCTCTCTTCCAAGCATTCACAGACATGCCTTGCAGGGCGCGCATCTCTCTGCTTTCCGCCACCACATCGACTCCGCAGCAAATCTCTCGTCTGTCGTCTCTGCTCGGCACCCATGGCCGCATTGACGGGGCTCCTACCATCCGAGTCGTGAGCATAGCCCAGGGAGCAGTCTTCGCGAATGGCATAGGAATGACCATCGCTATCAATGGCAACGTGCAAGGAGGTGATCTGCGCTCCACCCAGCTTTGCGTAGCAGCCCGCACCTACCTGGATCGCCAACGCCATTTCGACATGCCATTCGCAATGACCCCGACGGGATCGATACGCATGTGCCTCACCGCTATTCCGAATAACGACACGCAGCCGGAGAATGTGCTCGCGGACATACTGCAATCATGGCCTCTTGCAAGTGCCACTTGCCTTGACATACGCTCTTGCCGTTCAGTCCCAATCGAGATCTGGCGCGCACTTTTCGATAACGCGCCGGGTGTTACGACAGTCATTCTGCGCCCTGAAGCGGCCGCTCTTCTCACGCTGATGGACTTCCTGACGACGGCTTTGCGCGAGGACGGGCGGCGTATCGTCAAGAACATTATCCTTGACATGGGCGAGGTTAGCTTTGGGCACATGTCGTCCCTCTTCGGCGGTGGTGGAGTGCTACAAGAGACGCCCAACGTCCGAGCACGAGTATGCCTCATGCGACTACTCCAGTACTGCACGAATGCCGCTCAGGCTGGTGTGCCGCTTGATACCATCGAGCTCGTGAACGACAATGTCCACCAGCAGGGAGACAGGATGATCCAGACCGTGCCGGAGACCGACTGGTCCGAGTTGTACCGCGATTTGGGTGAGGGGTTCGTCTACGAGGGTTTTCTACGCAATGTATCGACGGGGCCCGAAGGAGCGAGGAAGGATTCCTTTGTAGGCTCGAAGACGAGTGCTCACAATGAAGTACACCGATATGCGCGCCGCTACATATTCTAGTCTGCCATTCGATGTCATACATCTTGCACTCGGCACTGTACGGGCCGAGTGCCACAGAAACAATTACATTTAGTAGGATGCGGAATGTATATGTACTTTCTTGAATATCAGGCATGGGCTGTCATGCAAAAGAGCGCCTATGGGCGCAAATGCAATGAGGTTCACTCCGATGGTAGCAGAACATCTGTGATATCTCACTGGTCGTACATGATATATCGGTTCTAAAACATATGTAGCAACCCATTACCGCGACCTCCAATCGAGCTCATCCACGAGATCCGTAAGCTTCTTCACTACCACGTCCTCCATCTCTGGATCTGCCAGAACGACGTCCTTGTCTACTATCAGCCGCGCCAGCCTCTTCGCTCCCTTGACCTTCTCAATCTCTATCGCGCGCAGGGCCATCAGGTGTGCGAAATATGTGCACGACAAAGGTTTCGTTCCCGCGGATAACCGAAGGATAGCGAGCTCGGGCAACACCAACCCTCTGTAGTTCTCACAGAGGCCTTTGAGCGTCTCCAGATCGTATCCATGCATGTGCAATGCGCGCAGGTTCTTCGTCTTGAGGAAAACAGTGACGACCGACGAGTGAAAGCCCTTGACTGTGTCGGCGCTTGTGACACAAAGCGTCTGCATGTTTTCCAGGATGCTCGTATCGTCTCCTTCCTCGAGATGTCTGAACGACTCTGCTAGCACGCAGAATATGTTATCGCCGAATAAGACTCCGCGTCGCTTAGCCGAGTCTATGTGTGCTGCGCGCATGCCCCGATGTTGCTGGGCCGGAACGTCAGGCTCTGCGTCTTCATCACAGATGGTCGACGTTTCCTCGCAGACGGAGACAGAAGGGCTCGCAGGGGAAGAATTGTCGAAGACCAACTTATACCCCACCCCGCGCTCAAGAAGCTCGTCAGCGAATGTGCTCAGCGCCGAGTAGAATGCGGCATCAGGACCCCGATGGTTCAAGTCGGGAACGCCGCTGCCATCTTGGAGGTATGGCAAAGCGGAGAAGGCGACCTCGCAGCCGGGCGGATAGCGGAAGTGTCGCTTGATCATAGGGAGAACCTGATCCGAATGACTACCGATATCCAGGCGGCGGAGCGCGGAGAGACGGACGCCTGGGCCTGAATTCTCGGGTGGATAGACTTCCATATCAGCGCTCAGGCCCAGGCAGCGCAGTAGCTGCAACTCTTGTAAGGTGGCGCGACAGCTGCTGAGGCAATCGAATGGGGAGTCAAGTCGCCATCCGTTGTACCCTGGGCAGTTCATGTCGTAGACAATTGACAGGCGCTGGAGAATACTGGCGCCAGTAAAGGATATGATGCAATTGAACATCTTCGCAGAACGAAGAGAAGGGGTGACTAGTGGCTCGTCGTCGTGTTTGCGTCTCCCGTTGGTCGTTACATCCAGATGTTCCAGCGAGTCCAAAGATCCCACATCCAGGTAATAGAGGAGTTCCTGTAGAGGGCTCCATCCCGTACGTCCATTTGTACTGTGGACATAGAGAGAGCGGATCGAGTCGGGCTCGACATATTCCGGCATCCAATAATCAAAGTCAAGAACGCGACGATCTGACGTGCGTAACGTGAGCGAGAGCGGGCTCGACCCCGCCCGCTCGAGAAGTTCCCCGGTGGCCAAGGGAAGGACGCCGACAATGTCAGCCCAGAGAGACGTCATCGATAACATTGTGAACCTCCACGAGCGACAGACGTGCGAGGCTTTCACAAAGCCCAATGAGCCATGGTCTCCCCGGTGCCAGGTTGGAAAGCCCTCGAACGATTCCGGCTCGCTCATTGGCTCGTGGTCGGCCCCATAGTCACAGTCACGTTCCCATTCGACCTTGGTAAGGCGTTCATGCAAGGGTGCAACGGGTGGATCGGTGAATGCCAGATAGGAAAAGACGTCCCGCATGACCTCGGGAGGTAACCGAGCGACAGGCGTAGTCGTATTAGCGGTCTCCTTCAATAGGAGAAGGGCGGCGGTGAGGTCCTCGATGTCCTCCAAGACCTGATTGCGAAGGTTCGCGCGCTCTTGGGTCGTGCCGACGCCGATGGTATGTGCAGCATTAAGCTGCATGTAGCGTTTCCTGAAGGACTCCACAGCGTGAAAGCTGTGAATTGTCAGCCGTACATCTCGGATCTGTCGAGGAAACTCGCGTACCGCGTGTCCCGCCCGACATCTGTGCTGCTCGCCCTCATGGATGATTCGCGCGCAGACATAGAGGGCTGGAGAATGCAAGGTGTGAGCTTCGTAGTTGAAGCGAACCAGGTAGAACGCAAAGTTTCAGGTTATCACCCAACTATCCGATAGAATGGACAAGGTGAAAGGCAGGTCGTGTCAGCAGGATGAGCGCCTTTTGAATCAACTCAGTCAATCACCACCGCTTACGCCATCAACAACGTGTTCCTCGATAGGCGAACCACACCACCGACAAAACCACAGGGCCATTTCCGATGACAACAGGATGCGGCATGCAGTAGGCATGCACACATTGAATGTGAATTGCAGAACAAGATACCACGAATGACATGGAGACTATCGACGAGTCTCATTTCACAACCTCCACTGGAGATCGTCCACCGTTTCCTTCAGTCGCCGCACCGCCTCGCCCACGTCCTCCGGATCCGCGAGCACAACGCTCTTGTCCACGATGAGTCGGGCAAGTCGTCTCGCGTCCGCGCGTTCTTGACACCGGCGGTGCCATAGTGATGTGTCGAGCTTCGTCATGATCTGGCGGAAGAGCCGGCGACGACGAAAGCGGTGAGCCAAGGTCCAACCGGCTCGGCAAGCGATAGCACTTTCACCTCCCGTCTGGCACTCGATCCCTCTGCGCCAAATAAGAGTGAGCTCTAGTGTAGCCGAGGAGAAGATGCCGATGATATCTGCCAGAGACGTTAATGACACCATAATATATCTCAAATTCCAATGGTGACGAACGTGAGATGCTCTCATAAAGCCGGATGAACCGCTGTCTGTCGTACTCCATGCGGGGAAATCGTTGAATTGACACCGGTTCGGAAAGCTCCGAATAAACTGGATCTCGTCGTCCTCGAGCTCAGGTCCCTCGTGCTTTTGCAAGGGAGTGATTGGAGAATTAATCACCGCAAGGTGTGTAGAGATATGTTGGAAGAGTTCCGGCGGTAGACGCGGCGATGTGGACGCGGATGCAGTGACGTTCGAACAGCTGAGAAGCCCACTCGCCATGAATATGTGCTCCCAATCCGGACATTCGGCGTCGTCTCAAATACCCAAGGGGACGTCATGACAAGAGCAGAAGCTCGAAAGGTCTTAGGGTTATGCGAACCTCGTCGCCGTCGTTGGCAGAGTCGAACTCGCGCGGTGCGCCAGTCAAGCGCCCGCACAGAGAGTACACGCCCACGTGAGTTGATCACCGAACGCGCCTCATGCGGTCCCCCACGCCCCGTAACGCCGAACCGGCGCTTATTGGGTCTCGAGGAGTAGGTAAGTCTCTAAACTACTGCGACGCTCTCGTTCTCAATCTTCGTGCAAGCACGATTGATGACAGACTTCACTTTCGCGTCCACTGACCTCTATTTGAGATCATCGGCCACAGGTCTGTACGCGGGCTTCGACTCTCAATGACAGCGCGAACGGCACTCAGAAGGACGATCAAATCAAAATCGATTCAGCTACACATGCACTACCCAACCCCGCCTCACTTCTTCGCATTCCTCCTCGCAACACTCGAGCTCTTCTCACTCCTAACCCTTCCCTTCTTAACCCCCGCATTCTTCTTCCCCTCCGCCTTCCTCTCAATCGGATTCTTCCTTTCCCTGACCCTCTTCTTCCCCTCCTTATCCCCCTCTTTCACCTTCAGCCCCAACGCCGCCCTCGCCTTCTTCTTCGCCATCCGCCGCGCGACGCGCTCAGCGTCGGCCGCTTTGACTGCTTTGCGCGCAGATTTGTCTAGGTCTTTGAGGCGCTCGCCGAGGCGGGGGTCGCCCTTGGGGAGGTCGGCTAGGGAGATGGGTCTCTTGGTGTTTGAGGTGGAGAGACGGGGTTGGTAGCCTGAGTCTGTGGGCTTGCCGACTCGAACGGGCGGCGCGGGCTTGTTCTTCGGGTCGGGTTTCTTGAGTGGTGCGGAGCCGGGCAGGGTCTTGCAGCGCTGGAGACGAAGCTTGCGTTTGGCGAACTTGAGCTTGCCTTCTTCGAGCGCTAGAAGCTCGTCGACGCATTCGCGGTCCTGAATCACATGAAGGTATGTGAGCGGACTGGTGCAGAAATTGGAGGACAAAAAGGGGCTTACGGCGAATTCAATGTACGCGAAGCCTTTGCCGAGTTGGGTGTCTTTATCGCGTACGACACGGACATGGCGGACCCATGTCTTCGGCTTGACGGCCTTTTCCCCACCCTTCTCTCCTTCATCCTCGTCCTCATCGCTATCCTCGTCATCTGAACCACTCCCTTCAACCCCAGGCGGTCCACGCTCCGCACTGACAACCCCTTCAAAGTACACCCTCAAATCTTCATCCTTCGTCGCAAAATCCAGATTGCCCACAAACACCGTCCGTCGCGGATCGCTCCTCTTCTCCTTCGCCTCCTTCGCCACCGCGTCCACCCGTAATGTTCGTCCCAAGAACGATGTGCCGTCTACATTGGCGATGGCCTGTTGTGCCGCTTCGTATGGGTCAAGTGCGGTGGCGTGCGAGGGATGTGAGGGGTCGGTATGTGCGAAGACGATGTAGGCGTGGACGGCTGAAGCTTGGTCGTGCACTTCTTGCTTGATGAACGCGATACGTTTCTTCTCCGCTGGCGTGAGCTTCTTCCTCTCCGGTCCGGTGCCCTCTTTGTCCTGCTCGTCGCGCCAGTGCGCCGCACGTGCGCTACCATGCGCGCGCGTGTCCTTCTCTTTCTCGGCTGAAGTAGATGGGGCAGTGGAGGAAGGGTCAGAGGTGGTGAGACCGGTGGGCGTGGCGAACGCTACGGAGCGGAAGCGCGTAGATTCGATTTTGGATGAGGGTACGAGGGAGATGATATGTCTCTCCAACTGCTTTTTCCCGCTCTACACCCGGCACGCATATTAGTACGAGTACGATACGAGGAGTAGATCGTATAAAAGCTTACCTTCGACTTCACCACTTCGACAGGGACATTCCCAACAAACACCGTCCTCGCGTCTCTCTGCTCCTTCGTCTCTCCAGGCGGCACATACCGAGTCTTATCCTTCTTCTTCCCGCGATCGCGCCGTTCTATTTTCGGGAGGAGGGATTCGTGTACGGGAGGAGGCGCGTCGGCGTCGTCCGAATCAGAGCGGTCAGAGTCAGAGTCGGATTTGTCGGCAGATGTGGACGGCGCAGTGAGCTTTGTGATTGTGCGTGCTGCGTAGGCCTCCTCGACGTCCGCGTTGTCGTCCGAGTCTGAATCAGAGTCGATGGACGCCGTCGCGCGTTTTTTCGAGGTCTTCTTCACTCCGGCGCGCGGTGCGTCGACTTCGGCAGCAGGCAGAGTCGTTGATTTAGTCTTTTTGGCCTTTCGAGAATCATCTGTGTCATTTTTCCGCTTCTTTTGAGTGCCGGATGGGTTGGACGCGGAAGTGGAAGGACCGGCGATGGGGGATGCAGGCGGCGCGGTTTTCGCCTGCGGTGACCGGTGGGTTCAGAGGTCAGTACCTAGTCGGTGATAGGAGTGCGGCAGATATTACACGTACCGATGTGCGGAAGAGCGCGTCTAGTTCAGAGTCGAAGGCCATGGAGGCATCAGTGAAGCTAGTGAAGTGTAGAGTGTGAGCGGGAAGATTGTAGCTCCTCTTTTAACAGTGTATCTACGTCATGCCTTTTTAACATACATGGGCAAGTGACGCAGTGGTAGCGTGTTCGCTTTGCATGCGAGAAGCCCTGGGTTCAATCCCCAGCTTGTCCATAAAGGAAGAGTCGTTATTTTTCCTCTCTTCCTCTCTTTCTGTCTGTCTCTGTCTGTCTCTCTTTCTCTTGTTTTATCTCGTGCTCAGTAGACCGCAGTACCCCATCCCTCGCTCACGAGAATGGCGGCCGTCTGAATTATCAACGTTTCAACTCTTGTCATACTTCTCCAGGCTGAACATAGACGCCCGAGTCCGGGCCGCAAGACGCGTTCGCGCCCCGCTGGGTCTTGTTCTCGATCCGTAACACCCATGCTGCCGCAACCGGCGCAGGCAAGCCCCACCCTCCCTCTCGCACTCACGTAACCACTGTACACTTACTGTACCTCTGACGGCTCCTGCCTACTACACACCTGCAATAGATGGCTTCATACCTCAACCGCGTGCCGCTCATCCGACTGTCCTCATCTGAACAGCCTCCACGGCGGAATACGGTTTCTTACGACGACGAATCTGACGATGGACATGGACCGAGTAGGAAGCCTTGGTATCATTATGTACCGTTGTGCAGTAAGTCTTCTACCCGCATACTGTTGTTCTGTGTACTGAACAAACGTACAGTAACCGTCCTCCTGCTTCTCCTCCCGCATCCTTCGCTCCTGATAGTTCTCGTGCGATATCATCTCCTAACCCTACAGTCCCGCCCACTTTTCCTAACCCACCTCACGATCCTCTACACCCTTACATTCCTATGCTTCTGCTCACTCATCGTATGCGCCGCACGCGATCCCGGTCCGGTCCCACGACCAGCTCAGAAAGATCTCGAAGAGGACGGAGGAGATGGGGAGATGAGCATCACGGCCGCGCTTATGGGCGGGCCGCCGGAGGAGGACGACGATTATCTGAAACCGGGGCGGTGGTGTAGGATTTGTTGGGCGCCGAAACCGGAGAGGGCGCATCATTGCTCAGAGTGTGGGCGGTGTGTGCTCAAGATGGGTACGTTAGCCCTACCACTGTACTTGTTGAGATGTAAGTGCTGAATGGGATGCAGATCATCATTGTCCTTGGATCGGTGCCAAGTGCGTCGGGTACAGGACGTATCCTTCGTTCTTGCACTTGCTGCTATGCGTAACGCTTTACGCGTCATACCTCGCGGGCGTCAACATCGAAGGCCTTGTATACGCCTTCAGCCATCCACTCAATCTCGTAAGTCTCGCTTTCATACCAACGCATTGCCAGGTGCTAAATACATGTGACGCAGGACGTACACACACCAGTCCACATGCTCTTCCTCTCCTTCATAGGCGTCGTATTCGGCATCACGATCGGTGCCTTCCTTGGCTATCACATCTATCTCACATTGTACGTCCCCGTTGCTTCATTTCCTCCCATCTCAACTGACCCAATTTACCACCACATCGCAGAACGAACCAAACGACCCTCGAAAACATCGCGCCCTTCCAACTCCTCCGCCACCTCCCTCCCTTACCAGGCGGCCTCAAACTCTCCTCCCCACCGTTCGAACACGAACTCTCGCACACCCAACGCCGAGCCGTTCGCGCCGCGCACCGTTCAATCAAGCTATACGACGCCGGTGTCAAAGAGAATGTGCGACAGGTGTTCGGCGGGTGGCCCAGGAGTGTACGAGGATGGGGCAGACTGGTGATGGCTGGAGGGGGGACGAAGGGCGGTGGTGTAAGATGGGCGCGGAATGAGAAGGCTGAGAGAGGATTGCATAGGTTGAGAGATGTGCTTGTCAAATTGGAGGTGGAGGGCGAGGGCGCGTTTGATAGTGAGGCTGAGGTGGAGGTTGGAGAGCCGAGGTTCGATAGTGAGGGGGAGTTGTCGCCTCGGAGCGCTTGAGTTCCGACGCGCTGCTATGTTTGTATCGTCGCGCCTGCTTTGTAGGAGTTCACTCTGTTTGTTTTCGCTCGCATCGGTATCGTAGGATCCATCTCACGGACATCTATCTAATCCCCTAGTATATACCCGCACTCATTTTATGCATTTGCCAATTGCCATATAACTTTTCTCACACACAACACCTCTCGAAGCGTCGCGAAGTGACTTTGGCTGCACGGGGACGATTCCCGAATACATTCGGCACTCTACGACGATACGTGGATTCAGACAGTCATATGGCGAAGTGACAGCAGTACTAAGTATATCTGCCACAAGCTACCCTGGTCCGTCCACCGCCCCAGCTCCTGTGTGTCACCACACGTTTGTTAAGCAACGACAACAAGGTATGGCTTCACAATACTATGATGCCTTGCTAGGCTCGAGTTTCCGATCACGAAGTGATGTGGCGCCCCTTCCAGTACAACGATCCAGTGACAAAGCTCGCAATCCTCTCCCTGGCTTCGCCAGACCGCTCTTCATCCTCCAGAACAACGGTGCTGTCTATCATCAGATCCTTCAGCGGGGCATGTATGCTATGCCTCGCGAGCATCTCTGGCGGACCGTAACGCGCCCTCAATTCGTGTGCGAGCGCGCTGCTCGATAGGACGTGGTCGGGCGATCGTTGGGAGAACGCGAGCCTCTCGAGCAACGGCGCAAGTGGCCCGTCGGGACCCGGCTGGTGCAAAGTATCCATCAAAGTGCCGGAGTCGTATGGGTCTACGAGATGGAATGCTCGTATAGCGGGGAACCGTTGTAGGACACCGACTGCATCATGTTTGCAGAGATAACAAAAGCCCGAATATGACAGCGCTTTGACGTTTGCTGTGGGAACGAGTTCTGAGAGGGCATGAAGCAAGACTCGTAGGGCCATGTGCTTATGTGCAAGATGCAGAGTAAGGCGGAGCGTGTCGCCTCCGAAAATGAAGCTCTCGGTAGAGATGGGGGTGTCTGTGTGCGGTTCGTGATCATCGGCCATTGCGTAGAAACGCAAGATCAGATGGTCTTCTCCTCCGTGCGTGGATGACTCCTCGATTCCAAGCCCCGACGGCGAAACGGGGTCCAGTCGTAGAAGGGGCTTGAGGAGTGGGCCCAAAGTCTTCGAAGTGACAGACGTAGAACGCGAATCGACATGAAAATGTACCGATGTAAAGTTCGGATACGACATGCGGTCGAGTGGGCTGATCAAGCCAGAGGCATTGTACTCGTGCTCATCCGCTCGATATTCCAGTGTTTGTAGGCGGGTGAACTCGAGAATTGGCTCATGAGGATGCAAGTAGCCATGGACTCTCCTGACGTCGAGACGTAGATGCAGTAGCGAGTGTTTATGCACTTTCAGAAGTTTGAACAAAGTGCGATGATATAGTCCCCATCTGCGGAGTCCTTCCGGGTTGTCGCGCATCGCTGTCCCACATATGGATAGTTCGGCCAATACATTGGAAGTGAAGTGACAAAGCACATTTGTCAATCTCGCGACTCGTAGATTGGGTGCATCGATGGTTTTGGCCGGGTCAAAGCTGAGTTCGCCAGTAGATAGGACGAACGTGTGGAGAGCGATGAAGGAGCATCGAGAGGTGCGGAAGAAATATGTGTCTTCGAGATAGTATATGCGGCTTTCGATCCAATAAACTTCACGAATGCGTTGGGACATGGCACCGTCATTGCACGCGACCGCCTTCCAGAAGCCTTCCTCTGGATCCGTCCGACGGAAGGTTGCGCCGTAGAGGCGCAGTATGAGAGGGCGAGCGTCGCCTGCTCGTTCCAACATAGCCTGCAATGACCCAGGGAGCGATCCGATGTCGCCGGCCCAGAGCTCAGTCAGAGCCAACAACATTTTCCTCCATAGCCGACAGACATGACCTAGTAATATCCAGCCGAGGTGCCCGCCCCTTCCGCGCATCCATGGTGGCTCATCCATATTGTCGTAGACGGGCTCGCCATCATCGTCGTCAAGGTTAATCGTATATTCACCGGGTACCTTTCTCTCTTCATAGATGTGACGGGCACGTATGTCAAATGGTGGTATCGGGCGCTCAGTCTCAGCGAAAAGTATGAATATGTGATTCAATATCTCTAGCGGCAATGAGTTGAGCGAGCGCGGCGGCTGCACGCCGTTGCAGGCTGCTCTCATAGGCGGAGTGGTGCGTTTGATCAGTGAGACAATGCCAACGAGGCCTTCAGATGCAGCCATATAGGGCAATAGAGTATGATGAGGGTCGGCCGCGCGTCCGACGTGGTTGTGGTTGAGAGGCAAGCTCACGTGTGCTGATCATCGAGCCTGGCGGCAACTGTATTCCCGCGCCTCCTGCTGGCACGCCGTGGCAGACGTTAGTCTCGACAGCACACTGCATATCCTGCATGGCAGACACTACTGTGCTACGCTGAGAACTCGGTCAAGTAATGAAATGGTAAATTGACGTGCATGCAGCGGTTGTCCGACAGCTATCCGGCACGTAAAAGAGCTCGCCTAGGATACGTCATTCTCGAAGTTAGACTGCAGATTCCACGGAGAGAAGACGGACAAGTGTATGCGCTTGTATGAGTCGGTCAAGTAGTGGTGATTTGAGATGCCAGGCTCGTCGACCAGGTCCAATCTTGGCCAAACGAAAGAGGATCTGCGCCATCCAAATGGCTAGATTTCCACCCTAAGTCGAGCACGCCTGACGGCACAGGCTTCTCCAGTATGATCATAGCTCCTCTAGACCGCCAAGCCCGACGTCGAAGCACGTACGGCAAGACGTACGGGCGGCCGACTATCGATGGTGGTTTTGCACGGACCGTGCTCGGTCCGAGGTCGGAGCGTGGGATCTCCCACGTGGGTGTGTGGTTTGCCAGAAATGACTCCGTTGACTGCCCGCCTTTCAAAAGGTTTCAACCGTCTCGCTTTCACCATCGATCACCACCGCTACTTTCCCCCACTCCTACACTCTGGATGGCTCACTCATCTATAAAGATGTCTCTCGTGCAGAATGTCTGTGTCTCTGGAATTGTCTACTACTGGGATGAAGCCTGGGACTTCGCCTTGCATAACGGCGCTACGGAGAAGCAGATGGAATCCGTGGGGATTGGCGAGACTCTAAACAGCCTATTCGAGAGGAAGAGGTTCAACACGCGATGCGTCACGATACACCCTTCTGAGCGTTGGCCCGAGACACGATACTGTATCGTCACCGACTTCGCAGTGCTTCCCTGCAACTGGGGAAATCGGCGTGCTCCGCGGATGCAGATCACCGAGTGGACGAAGCGCGTCTGCAAAGCTCTGCTCCCTAGTAGCCATTATCTGGACTGCGGCTCCCGTATGCGCCAGGTCGTAGTTAGGGATGACGATAGTACGTTCGCAATCTGCCGCATGCATCGAGCGCGACGTCTGACAAATGTTCTCAGTCCCTCCCTTTGTGCACCACTTGTTCCAGCGGCAGCTCGCGGGCGAGCGCATCGCCAGTCTTTCGCCCGACCAGACCGACTACAGCCTGTTCAGGAATGAACGTGCTAAGGTCGCAGCCTCGGTGGAGGCGGCGCGCACTCAAGCGACGCCGAAGCCCAAGACCCACTCGCCGCGCCGGTACTTGAAGGAGATTGCTGATTCGCGCCCGACGTCACCCTGCCCGATAAACGACCGCCCTCCCAGACCCACCAGGAAGCGCACTCGGAAGGCTAAGAACCCGAAGAAGCCCAGCAGCAACTCGGTAAGCGAACTGTTCTGTCATGGAAGCGATGTTGGGCGCTCATCTTGCCGTTCAGTCTGACTCAGATGCGGATGTCGAGTCTGGGTACGAGTCGGACGCCGGGTATTACACCGACGTTACGATTCGTCCCACCGTCCGCCAGGGCACCGCCTGAGCGACCCTCTCCTTGTCGCCACCGCTTTCGACTGCTTTCGCCACCCGCTGTAAGTCGCGTCCTTGTTCCCTCGCGTCAAAGTTCGGACACTGACAATCACATGCTGACGCAGACTTTTGTCCACACATCGCATCGCATCTTATCAGTTTTCGTTCTGCTCTGCCCCCAGCATATCTTTTTGCATTGTACATAGGAAGAAGTTTTCTGTTCAACTGTAACATAGTCGTACATAGCGTAGGCAGTAGACACCATCGTCACTAGACGCGTTCTTGGTCTTGAACTTCTTGCGCGAACCACACGTGAGCGTGTTTGCTCCCGAGCGGGCGCAGACCTCTTTCCCAATCTGCACTTGCCGATCTAGTGCGATCGAGTGGCAGTGTTTGTGGCACCAGTTACGAGGAAGTTAGATATGCTAGAGGTTCGAGGTTCGAGGCAAGATCTAGTTACGCGAAATAGACTGCGCGGAGTACTGAGGCTCCAGCTAGACTCCTGCCCCACGCGAGCGAAGAACTTCAGCCGCATTCCCGAGTTCATCTGCCAGGCGCTGCACGTATGCCTCGTCGTTCTGGTCGCGCGCGTTTCCTGCAGGAACGTCAAGGGTGAAGCTCGGTGCGTACGCAGGGAACGCAGCGTGATCCGGTATATGCGTCTCGAGCGAGAGCGGTTCTCCCTTCTGCTTCGATCAGTCCGGCGCGAAATCAAGAGATAGGACGTGCAGACTCACGGCGATGGAGGTCAAGTAAGCCCATGCCCGCGCCGCGTTCGGCGAGTTGTAGCCTCCGCCACCGAGCAATAGCACCTTGCACCCCCACTCATCGATGACCCTCCGAATACACCAACCCAAACCGCCTTCCCCTCCCAAGCACCAGTTTCCCACTGCGCACGGATCTCCCGCGAGCGCATCGACACCACACTGCACTACAACGGCGTGCGGTACGAATGCATGCGCTACGGCTTCCACGCCGGGCCAGATCGCCGCGTATGTGCGTGCTGAAGCGCCGGCGTGAAGAGGAATAGTCAGCGAGTATGGGTCGTCTTCGGTTGCAAGTGGGCCCGCTCCGCTTGCTGCGTGCGTCGGCTCCGAGGAGAGCAGGTCCGGCGTACATGGCGCAAGTGGGAAGAAGCCCCGAGCAGCGTGGTGTATGCTCAATGTCAATACGTTGGAACTTTTGGCACGGTTCGGGCCGCAGAATGCACCGGCGACGCCATCACCGTAGTGTAAATCCAAATCAAGGTACATCACTCGTGCTCGCTCCAGTTTCGGGCGCGATATCGAGGGTCCTGTTGTGGCTGGAGGATGAGGCGGTGGTCGAAGGCGACGGAGAGCGAGGATGGCGAGTACACAGTCATTCACGTAGCAGAAGCCAGAGACGCGGGACTTATGTGCATGATGTCTTCATGGGAGGGATCGCAACGCAGATGAAGTAGGAAGGCGACGCATCGCATAGCCAATATGAAGAACAGCGAGCGTTGGAGTGCGGTTGAGTATATTGCATGTATGGTGAAGTAATGAACAGCATGTCAGGTACATGAGAATAAGGTGTATACGAGCACTTAACGAGGCTACGTACCGGCCTCCGTCCCAGCAGATACTCACATCTGCCCGACCTTCGACCAGTTCACGGGCAGCGGCGAGGGATGCGCCGGCTACAGCCAGGACATACTCCCGCATCCCAGGGAAAGGTGCGCAATCCTGGTATCACAATCGGACCCTGTACAGGCTGGATAATGATTGGACGTACATCCTCGAGTCCATACCCTGCGTCGTTTGGTTCGGCATCTTGTCCTGATAAGAGTCGCTCAACGAGGTCGGTGTCATGGAACGAGAGCAAGTCATCCTCCGCTGCGAGTTCAGGACGAAGAACGCGTATGCTTGTTGATTCATCCCCGCCACTTTCCGAGTCCTCATCCTCTGCCAAGTCATCCACGTCGTGCTCCTCGTGCGCGGCATCGCGAGTTCCAGCGAGATTCGCTAATAGTCCGAGCGAAGATGCCAGCCCGTGCACGAGCACAGCGCGTCCGCGATTGGACGGTAAGCGCGCAGAGATCTGCGTGGACTGTGAACACGCTTCCAAGTATGACTGCGTCTTTACTGACTTTAGCTAAGCTTTCCGAGGCAATGTAAACCACTCTACGACGCTTTCTGTCGGGGGAAAGCGTTTAGGAAGACTTCCTTCATCTCCAGGCGGCGAAATAGACGGACTTCGACGTTATAAACATCGGCGTTCGCTTCAAGGTGGCGTTCAATTACTACGAGGTGGCGTTCAATAGCAATGACTAGGATTATATGAAGCAGAGAAGTCCCTGAGCTCGTTCCAGGGTCCGCATAGGATGCTTGTAGAGGTTAAGAGCGAGCTGTGGCGCCCCCGCGCGCGCGTCAGGTCAGGAAGTGTGCTCGCATCAATCGCGAATCTTCCAAGTTCCAACGACCCTAGCTACTCTAACTTCAGCTACTACCGGCTGAAACCCACCTGGAAGCGACGAATCTTGTACAAGGCGCTGAGAAAAAGGACCCACGCATATCCTATGC